AATTATAAAGATTAAAAATATTTTAAAATTTATTACTAATATTTTAAATTATTAAACCCTTATAAATATTATAAATATTAAAATTTTAAAATATTTTTAATCTTTATAATTTTATTTTTTAAAATATAGGGACTAATATTTAAAAAGTTAAAACTTTAAAAACTAAATTATCAGAGACAAAATTCAGAAATTGATTTAAAACTAAATCAAAATTTTAAAGATTAAATTATAACGAGTCAAAGTTAAAAAATTAAATTATAATTAAGTTAAAATTATAATGATTAAATGATTAATTTTTTTAAAAGATATTTTACTAAGAATTGCATTAGTTTTGTTTTGAATATTTTCATTGACGTCGAATCTTATTGGTTGAAGACTTGAAGTGTATTTTAACGTGTGCAAGAAGTACATCTTACCTCTTACAAGATACTTTACAACCAAGGGAACCTGAAATGATCCCAAGAGTATATTACCTAAAAGAGGCAACGTTGGAAATATTTTTATCTTAATTATCTAATTGGTTCTCTTGGTTGAAAATACTTTACATGGAAAACAGAGGGAGTAATACTTTCTAGTAACTAGTACATCTAGACTACGAAAAATAGACATATTTTTCAGATGCATTAATTGCTCAGTTTGAATAATGAATATTGTACTATCATGCATATTCATGACTTAGTTAATAGTATGGCTAATTATTTTTGATTTAATTATATATATATATATATATATATATATATTGACATATTGATGAATGTGGAGCTTTATGAGGATTTTTGACGGAGTTATTTAACATTATTTTTGTGAATATGTTAATCATTTCTTCCGCTAAAGATTCAATAATGGACTCGATCCTTTTTTTTTTTAACCGAAATAATGAACTCGATCCGTAGATTGATCTGGTAACAAATTTAATTAATGAAAATAATGATGATGATTTTAAATAACTTTCAACTTTATTATTTTTTTCAAAATATGGGTTTTCAAATATTATTTTTTTAAAGAAAATGACTAATTAATCAACATGGTTATCATCCTGGTCCCAAAAAAGGAAAAAAAAAAAAGAAGAAGACACACGGCTGTCATTAAAAGCAGATAATTCACATACAGTACTACAGCCTTATCTGGTTGAGGATTTTATGTCAATTTGATTCTTAATAATCATATCCCTTTTTTATTCTTCTTTTTCCTGTATTGATGTAATTTTAGGTAACCCAAAACAAAGACAACGTATAATTATAGCCACCTGTTTAATTACTAGGGTATATATAAATATATATTCCCTTCAAAGTACAATATAAAGTATATTTTACATGCCTTATTTAGTTTAAAATATAATACACTAGATAGTTTTTATAATTATTCTTTCAATTATACCCTTACTTCATTTATTATTATTTTTAAAATATATATTAAAATTTTAATTATCATTATCAAAGTATTTATATAATATATTTAAGAAGATTAAATTGAAAAAATGTAAATTTCTTTAAAAAAATTAAAATTTCAACTAATATTTTTTGATAATTGTGAATTATTTATCAATGTCTTTTACTTTAAAAGAGTGGGTAGAGGTTGTGAAAATTAAAGTATGAAAATGAAATAATGCAAATAAACACAAGTAATGATAAGTGGGGATATATGTGTGTGTGAGTGTGAGGAATGAAAAAAACAAGAAGCAAAAATGGTTGACAAAGGTGTTGTTGAGAGAGAGAGAGAAAGAGAGAGAGAGAGAGAAATATTTAGGAATTAGGGGAATGAAAAGGAATTAAGAAACTTATAAAGGTATTTGAAATTAGGGCTTATTAAGATAACCAGTAAATGAATCCAAACATACGAACAATCCCTTCTCTCTCTCTCTCTCTCTCTGTCTCACAGTGTTTCTGTGTCTCTTCACACGTTCAGGTCAATGGGTCCACTGATCATAACATCAATATTTCTTGCTCCTTAGACTATTACACACCCACCTCTTCATTTAATGCCCATTAATTGCTAAAATCACAACTCTAGCCTCCCAACGTTCATTAATTAACATCTCTCCACTTTCTTTCACCATGCTTTCTTACCTATGTCAAGATGAAATCTCTTGGGAACCAATGTTGTTTAATCTTTACTTATCTAGCTGACTATAACTTTTTTTTTTATTTGGGTACACAGCTAACGAAAACTTTTTATCTCTATTGATTTGTCCCGACATGATTGAATTTAAAATTCAAACACCGTAATGAATTTCAATCCTAATTCTGGGTCATAATAATGTTTTCCACAAGAAGCTAAGTAAACGCATAGTTGGGTGACATTTATAAATCATTTTTAATATATTTTACCAAAATTTTAAAAAAAACTCAAAATTCTTCAATCCTGTATAAAAACTTTATAGTTCCAATTTTAGCCTTATTTATGAAGGAATGAGTAGAAGCTGATGAGAATTTTCAATAATATATACACTCCTTGATCCTATTTATAAGCCAAAAAAAATGTTTTTTTTTAACAACCTAAAAGAGAGAATTTTTTTTAGTTCTATTTATAAGTTATATCATTAAATTTTTATCACAAAATTTTCCTCTTAGAAGAGTTGTGCATATTGCTTGAAAGCCAAGTCCTGCTTAAGTCATTCAAGCACCAGACAAGGGTCAAGCCCTGCTGGGGCTGAACATATGCCTTTTTTAATTTTTTTGAATAATATTTATTTTATGAAATTAGTTTTGATTGAGAGTTATTATGAACTATATTTTTTATGATTTTTTGAAATTTTTTAATCTCTTTCAAAATTTAAAATTAATTTTAACTTAATATTATGTAAAATAATTGATAGCTATTGATCATATGTAACTTTTAAAAAATTACTTTTGATTCTAATATTAGTTTTGTAAGGAATATATTTTAAATGATAATAATATATTTTTTTTAGGGAAAATTTTTATATACCTTTCAAAAAATATTTGTAAAATTTTTTTCAAGTTGATTAGGCCAAACTTGGCTTGAACATTTGAGCATCGGAATGGCCTAAACTACACATTAGGACTGGCACCAGACAGTTAGATAGAGGTGATGCTCGACTTGATCCTACTCATGTGTAGCTTTACATACCCTCCATTAAATGTTAGTAAGAAAATATATGTTACTATTAAAGTATATATATTATTAATAGGTGCAAAATTGAGAATTTATTAAATCAATGAGTTTTAATTTTTTTAATTTTGATAAAATATGTAAAAAATGACTTATGAATAGGACCACATGAATATGTTAACATTTAAAGGGGTGAAAGACTAAAGGAATTACCTCTAATAAAAAAATTAATGACATAACTTATAATAAATAAAAATTAAAACTTCATGTCTTTTTGTCTTATAAAAAAGCCAAAGAGAATATATAAAAGGAAAAAAATTATTGGACTATTAAACTCAAACAGCTAGGCTATCAAGAAGTCAAGATTGATTATCATGCAAAATTTTCGAACATGGCTAATTAATTTACTTAAACATTCAGTAATCGTGAGAGTAAAAAATGGAGTTATACGGGTTAATTAGGTGTTTTCTTTCTTTCTTTTTTAAAAAATGAAATAAAAACAAAAGAGCTTTTCTAAAAATATTTCTTGTATATATAGCTGCTGGCCAGGAAGCATGTCTTACAGATATATATTAATGAAAATTCAACTCAATCATAAAAATGGAAATCGCTATATATGCGTTCACATTGGTCAAAACAATATATCTGTGTTTGATTAAGGAAGTATATATAAGCATGAAGAGACGTTGATGATATAGATATTTAACAAAATCAGGCAGAAAAATTCAACATATTTTAAGTAACTAAGTTGGACCATAAGCATATATGGATGGCTCAAAATTAAATATGTGTCTGTCTATCTGAATCATAAGCTTCCACGCAATAATAAAATAAAAAAGCATATCAGTGTTCAAGAAGGATAAGTAATGGAGGACAGACCGAGCCAAAATCTTTGTTCGTATTTTTCTTTCTTCCATCACGCAAACAGGATTTATTAATTATTCAAATATAATACGTAAGTAAAGAATTATTCTCGACACTTGATTTATTTATTAAATGCTAGCTAGATGACCTTAAACTCACGGATAATTAACTAGGAGTCCCGCAAAAAAATTACATATCATTTGTTTTCAAGTGATTGAAAAAATATAATAAAACAAAGCCACTCTAGGCATTTTATATAAATGTAGTACATTGTGAGGAATCTCCTTTCACTTCTATATTCATAATATTCGTCAAACTTGGTCTCCCCAGAAGATTAGGTGTCACTGATCTATTAATTATAAGATATTTCTACACAAATGGTTTATCATCACCGAGATCATCAGCAAGAATTCTTGTATGAATATGAGGATTCAGAACTGGTTGACATATGTGAAGCTGGAATGAAGAAGGGGATAATTAAGAAGGTTGAAGAACTTATATAATATGGAAATCTAGGTTAAACTTATTGAACTGGTAAATCATGTTAAACTTAATTGGTTTAATAAAATGCTTTGTTTATGATCAATTTGATTATAATTTAAATACGGTTTTAACTATTAATTCTTGAATTAGTGTTTTAGTTAGGTTTGGTTTTCAATTCCTTGCTTCAAACTGATGGCGAGGAGATTTGGGTGTCTTTTGCATCCTAATACCCAAAATCTCAATCCTTTATTTCAGCTAATATTAGAGCAACTTCGACAGAGGCATTAGGGGACAGTAAAGAGGTTAACAGGCACTCCAAATCTGAGAAAGATTTAGAAATTCACGTCGTGGTGTCTCTGAGGGAAAGAGATTTACAAGGCATATAGGAGAGATTGCCCAAAGACTGGAGTGTAGTTAGTGTGTAAATTGACAACTAAGAAAACGAGAGTTAAGATAGAAAAAAGAAAGAAACAAAAGGCTTTGTTGGAGTGTCACTTTCCTATATATACTCTTAATGTTTTCAAGAAACCACATATACATCTCTCTCTCTCTCTCTCACCAGTTCTTTTCCTCTTTTCTTTTTCTTGTATTTCGATCGCCACACCCCACCCTCCCTTCTCTCTCTCTCTCTTCACTAAAGGATGTCTGTGTTTTGACGAGTAGCAAAAAAAGGTCCTCCTTTTATTCCCGTTTAGCTTATAGCAGCGTACAAGTACTTTTTTTTAGCTAAGCATCAGCGTATAATAAGTATTCTATATATATATATATGTGTATATGTATTGATGCTTGAGCTTGCACCTGTATATCTCTAATCACTTCTATAAATATTCTGTGTGTCCTCTTATTGCTTTGCTGCTTCTTATTGGAGGGGTTTCTTTTTACTACATCAAGTTCAAGAATAATAAGCACCCCACCTCTATGAGCAATTTGTGACTTTGTCGCCGTCTCTCTTGTTTTTCTTCTCTGAATTCTATCTCCTCCTCCTCCTCCTCCTCCTTGTTGCTGTTATCAGGTTGAGGATTGGATTTGTTTTTGCCACTTTATCTCCGAGTAAAATGCCCCAGAATAATAAGATTTGGAAAGACCCTTCATCATCGAATCCGATGCCTGATCTTTCTCTTCACATAAGCCTTCCCAACAGTGCTCCGTCTTCAATTTGCACTGCAAATAACAACGAAGAAGCAGATTCGTCGTTTGATATTTGGAGAAGCAGCACAGAAGAAGTAGTCGATGGCGTCAAATCCCACAGTGAGAGTTCAATCAGAGGCAGCCCTCAGGCTCACACTAGTCACCGCCATCATCCCTCTCTCTTCAATCATCTTCCTGCAAGTATTGGTTCTGAGGCCGAGAGCCCCTGGAGGACGACGAGATTAAGCGACGTCGTTCGAGGCAGAGAAGAAGATGGTGGGTTCTGGGTTTCACAGCAGGGACTCAATTCAAGACCCATCCGAGGAATCCCACTTCAGGATTCCAATAATATTTCTATGTACCCACTTCATCAGCAATTTCCGTATCAGAATAATTACTCATCAGCAGCTTCTTCTTATCATCTTAGTTATAATAGCAACATGTTGCCGGAGAACCCCATCTCGAGGTTCAATGGGATAAGCATGGAGAGTCTGATAAGACCCTATCAACCCCATCATCATCATCAGTATCACCTCTTGAACCATCATCATCAGTTTGGTTCATCAAACTCTGATTTCTCAAACGGATTTGGGAGGTCCAAGATGTTGCCTAACAGGCTTCACAGTAATAAGAGGAACATGAGGGCTCCCAGAATGCGTTGGACCAGCTCTCTCCATGCTCGTTTTGTTCACGCCGTTGAGCTCCTTGGTGGCCATGAAAGTCCGTCTCTCCCATCTCTCTCTCTCTCTCCCCATTGATTTACTGTATGCGTTGTCCCTTTTGATGTGGGTCTGATCAATCTGTGTATTAATTTCTTGAATGAATTGAACAATGGTGTAGGAGCTACCCCTAAGTCAGTTTTGGAGCTCATGGATGTGAAAGATCTAACACTTGCTCATGTGAAGAGCCATTTGCAGGTATTCCCCTCTTCTCGATTCACAAGTTTCGTACAAAACGAGTTCCGGTAATTCTGAAAGAAATCACAATAGAATTTTCAAGAGAGATGAATCCTCTCTCTCCTCTCTGCGTCTGTCTGTCTTGCTCTGTGCATGTGTGGACTTTGTGCAAAGTCTATCAAAGCGGCACAAGGGACGAGAAATGCAGTGAATGAATGAATGAATGAATGGAGTGAACAGTTGAGTCTGTGGTGTGCAATAGGACAAGTTCTACTTTTCAAGAGAGAGAAAGAGAGAAAAGTAGCCATCATTTCTCAATAATAGAAGCAATTACTCACCTTACCAAACATCAACCTCGTGCTTAATAAAGAAATCCAGAAAAATCCCCAAACGCAGAACCATACGCATTTCATTAACCGCTTTACTTCGAAAAACTAGATTTCCCTAATCTTTCTATTTTCCTTGTTACTATATTCTTATTCTTTATTACTACTACCATGTCTTTGGCTTTACTTGTATATTTATATATATTCTACACACTCATCTTACATGTCTGTTTTTGGCTTCTGCAGATGTATCGAACTGTTAAGAATACTGACAAACCTGCAGCTTCCTCAGGTAATTCGTATTGTTTTAACCTTGCGTTGCATGTATATATAGTAACGGTAGCTTTGTTGTTATTAATCCAATTAATTCACTTCACTAATTAATTCCTCAACTTCTGCTCCCAAAAGATTTAAAGTGTGAAATGAAATTGACTTCTTTTTTGTTAGATTCCCTTGCTTCCCCTTTATGACTCATCCTCCTTATTCATGCATTAAATTAAATAAGAACTATTCTCCGTTTTTTTTTTCCTGGTACATGCATGCATGTGTGTGTGTTTGTGACTGCGTTACCCACATAGTAAAGTTGTAGCATGGACATGCTAATATATATATATATATATATATAAGTTCTATGATATATAGTGCCTATTTTGAAACTGTTATCAGATGGAGATGAAGATTTCATGAGCCTAACGCCTCCACCACTAAATGAAAATGAGAGCTATTTTTCACCCAACAAGAGAGGCCCTACAAATGCATCATCTTCAGATCAGGATATGGCCTACAATAGCAGCAATCTGTGGGGTAATTCTTCTAGGTAATCTCTCTCTCTCTCTCTATGTATATATATATATATATATTTCAGATGCATATGTAGTTCAACTCTGAAATCTAACCCTTCAATTAAATTAAATAGTAAGTATTTTTATTTTAAATAGAAGAATAAATAAATGTGTATATAGCCTTGAAATTGATTGGACGACCGATGTGGATTCAGAGTGAGTCATTTCTCATGAAGAAAAGAATTCACATCTGAGATATGAATTTTATATCAGTAACTCATGATTTGCTCGTAGATCAGATCTAGCTTGCTAGGAGATGGAGGCAATGTGTTTGTTAGTGTTGGTTGTGCAATATTAGTGGTTAGTGTGCCTGTTTCCACCACTTAGAATGGAGTTTAAATCAAGCAAGGAAATGATAAGAAACCTCAAGTCTCTATACATACCCTTCTAAAACTGTGTAACTAAGAAATATGCTTCTTTCTGACACCTACTTTTTTACCTTTTTTCTCCTTCATTCTTCTCTCCACTAATTGTTCTTACTTTCTGACCAACAAAAAATTCAAAGCTCTTTAGCTCCTTCTGCTTCTGCTTCTATCTTCTCTTCTAATATATCATGCTTCTTTTGGCATCCATCTCTATATAAATACCAAGTTAGTTCACTTTCTTCTTCCACTAGTTCAGTTTTTTAGTTCACTTTCTCCTTCCACTAGTTCAGTTTTTTTCTCATAATTAACATTCTACTTTCTGTATCGATCTTCTTTCTCTTTCTTGGGCCATCTACATTTGCACTTCCTTAATTGACTTGCTTTCTTTCGAGTCCTTTCAATAATTGATTACTACACCATCTAATTTGAGTGGTTTCTTATCCATCTTTAATTTTCCCTGTCAAAGATAAGTACTTTACTTCCTCCTTCTGATTCAAATTCAAGATATCTAACAGATGAGTAGATCTTATATACATATATAGGAAAGTAATCTATTATTACTTATCAGAACAACAACAACACAAAAAAAATGCTACCAGAAATGGAAAAAGAAGAAGAAAAGAAATGCTCACTAAGATAGCTTAGTAAGAACTTCAAACTTTGATATATCGATTCACAGTGATAAGAGATCTGTGGAATTCATATAGACTGAGATGAGTTGAAAGCGACCATTAAAACTGATATAAAAATATTCATGGGTTTTGATAGACAGAGGAAATGAGGGAATGCTGGTTAGTTTGGGCGAAGATAGAAAGTTTCGTTTGACTGTTGAAGATTGTACGGTGAGAAGCAGACTAATTAGGGCAGAGAACAGATGGTAACTTTCAATGAGGTGTCCCTGTGAGTGAGTGAGTGAGTGAGTGTGTGAGGTACACAAATAATTTTATTACTCAGACGACATCATGTGACCACCAACCACAGTTAATTTTACACTCACTCTCTACTACAAAGGATGGCCCACACACCATCATGTGAAAATTATATTGGAAATGATACAAACATCCGTTTTCGTATAATTCCAAGCTACTCATCTCTATACCATTTTACTTGTTTAGGTATCATTCACACACACACACACACACACACAATTAGGCTTTATTAACAATAATAAGAGGTTATTGGTTAATTTCTTTTTATTAGTTTCTGAGATGGCAACAAGATTGTCTTCTTCGTTTTTTTATGCCAAACCGTATCTGATTTATCAGTTAAAGTATACTTTATTTTCCAGGTAATTAGTTATACATGTTACTTAATTATTTTATCGAATATATAATTTAGTATTATAAAAGTTACATTTCGGACAAGATCTTTAATTACATATTGTAAAAATTTTGCATTTTAATTTAATTAAGTTTGTAAAATGTGGGGCGAAGGGTGGTGGACTTTAGGTCTTTTGTTTTGGTTAAGCTTTGGAATCATAAAAGTGTGTTCGCACAAGCATAAAATGACTTCAAGAAAAGCTAACATATATATATTTGAATTGAGGCAAAAAGCTTAGGAAAAGCTATTTCTCCAGCTTTTCCTAAAGCTGAAATTTTTTTAAAATTTCAAGGAGAAAGAATTTTAATTTATTCTTTTACAACAACAAAAGGACAATCTTCAACGGAAAAATGAGATTAATTAATATTGTGAGAAAAAAATTTAAAGCTTCATTTTTATACACTACTACGTCACGAATCGTAACTTTCTTTTCCTCATACAAACATAAAAACTAAAATCTTAATAGTCTTTTTTTTTGGCCAAAAAAATCTTAATAATCTAAATTTGATAGATATCATAAAAAAGCTGACATAATAATTTACAACTTTAACTAATTAAGATGGTACTGGAGGTGCAATAAAGATGCCAAAAGCTAAGAAAATAAGAGTTATTTGCCCCATTGCAAAATTTATTCATGCCTAAAGTAGACAAATATATGATTTTTTAGCTGACTTAACAGACATGGTTGAAATATTGCCTTAGTTATATATATATATATATATATATATATATTTGCCCAAATTGCAAAAATTAATCTATAAAGAGAAAGAGAAAATCTATACTTGGAAAGCAAATTTCAAAGCAAGGGTACCATGGGCCTGTTTAAAAACATGTTCTGAGAATATTTTTCTATTCTCTAGAACAAAAGAATAAAAAAATCTATTCTTTGTCCCATTGCAAAATTTATTCATGTCTAAAGTAGACAAATGTGTGATTTTTTAGTTGACTTAACACACATGGTAGAAATATTGCCTTAGTTATATTATATATATATATATATATATATATATGCCCAAATTGCAAAAATTAATCTATAAAGAGAAAATCTATACTTGGAAAGCAAATTTCAAAGTAAAGGTACTATGGGCCTGTTTAGAAACATGTTCTGAGAATATTTTTCTGTTCTCCAAAATAAAAGAATAAAAAAATCTGTTATTTTTTCATTGCAAAATTTATTCATGTCTAAAGTAGACAAATGTATGATTTTTTAGCTGACTTAACACACATGGTAGAAATATTGCCTTAGTTATATTATATTATATTATATATACATATATATATGTGCCCAAATTGCAAAAATTAATCTATAAAGAGAAAATCTATACTTGGAAAGCAAATTTCAAAGTAAGGGTACTATGGACCTGTTTAGAAACCTGTTTTGAGAATAGTTTTCTGTTCTCCAGAATAAGAGAATAAAAAAATTTATTTGGCATTGTGTTTTCAAAAAGTGTTTTAAAGAATAAAAAATAAAATATTATTCTAAAGAATAAAAAAATGAAAATAACTTTCAGGTGTTCTATAATTATTATTCTAGAGAACAAGGAAGAATGAAAAAAATATCTATTTTTATTATTTTTTTTATTCTCAGAATATGTTCTATAAAACACCAGTTTTCAGAATAATAAAATAAAAATAGTTTCAAACAATCCCTATATTTCCGTTTTCCAAATGTTAATTTTTGATCCTAAACAAAACAGACAATATCTAATAATTAAGCCAACAAGGAGGTATTTGGGGAAATTGGTCAAAGGTCCCCATTCACCAATTTAATTGTGCACAACAAACTTTTAATTTGAACATAATTTCTTTTAATTTTCTGGATCTTTTGCCAGTAAAATCCTCATTTTAATGAAGTTGATATTTGAAGAAAATAAGATACATTAGCCTAATGAAAAACAAGTAGAAATTAACTAAATAAGCCTCCCAACTGTAAGTATGTAACATATCATCGGAGATGTTCACATGACTCCTCTTGTTGTCTTAAAAAGCAGAAGAAAACAAAGAAGTAGTCAACTAGCTAACTAGAAAATCGTGAATTTCGATTTCTTAAATGAGAATCGTCTTTAAATTCATTGGTCAAACATGCAGTGTACTATACGAAGACTTATTTGTCAATGCCGAAAATTTCAGTATAGGCTAAATTCTAAACTTGAAATCATTTAAATTAGGGTTAATTATTTCAAAAAGTTGATTTATAAATTTGCAAGTTGGCCAGGTACGCGCGCACAATTAATCTTATGTTGGAAACACATTAACCCCACTTGATAAACAACTTTCTTGTTTTAGCATTTGCTCTAATACAATGAGCGATATGGTGCAATATGTTTGTGTGTAGTGCATAATGTCACAAAGTTAATATGTCTGGAAGTCTGGGTTGTAGTTTGTAATCAACTTGGATATTATATTCTTCACCTCTTGAGACATAAGAATTTCATTTCACAATTTTTACTCCTCATGTGAGAGAAAGAGAGAGAGAGAGAGAGTATTGTGATCATTTCATTCTTTTTTTGTAAATAACATTAATTTCTGTACTTGATGGGATATGAGATTTTAAAGTCAAGGAGTAACTAATAATACATTATATTTAAATATAGTGATTAATTCAGCAGAAAAAATAGGGCCCTTGCGTTGTGGCACTACTTTCAGTGTTTTGAAAGTTTGACGACATTTTTATGATTAGTTGTGCCAAAGATGGAAATAAGCTAAAGATTTAGGGTATGTGATGTGATTTAGCTTAGCTTATTTAAATAAATGAGCCAAGCCGATTTACATAAAGCCTGCCTGACCAGGAGATTAACCGACACGCTCTCTCTCTCCCACCCATCCCCTCCAAGTCCTACCATTTAATGTATGACACTTTTTAAAAATAATTTTTAATTTAAAATGTAAAATATTTTATAATAATTAAAGTATTTTTTTAATTTTATTTTTTATTGATTAACGTTAAGGTATTAAACCACTTTCATTTTTACATATGTTAAAATTAAGGATAAAAATAATTTTTTATGCAAGAAAAAATTAACTTTTCTTAAAATACATAAAATAATTTAAAGTGTCTTACAATAAAGATAAGAAAGAATATATCATAATTTACTATAATTTTATTAAATTAATTAAAATTTTACTTAAGTATTTTGATTAAGTTTAATATAGGTTTTAATAAGTTAAAGGATTACTTGGACTTTTAGTAGGATTTTAAGCAAGCTTTTAATAAGAAAATGGTCTAAGCTCAAGAATAGGTTAAGTTAGGCTTAGGCTTTAAGTGATCTAAAATTAATGCAAAACTTATTAGGCCAAAACCTAGCATATTTTAACCTGTTTTGCATAGAAATGTTGTATCATTGATTTGTCCTAGAAAGATTATTTTTTTTTCTCCTTTTAGAACTTACCAGTAATATAATTTAATATAGGATTAAATGAAAAATTTGCTTTTGAACTATAGGTCCAAGAGCATTTGGAATCCTAAACTCTTTTTTGCAATATGTTTTCCTTCAATATTTTCAAAATAATGCAATAGGGCATCTACCATTAGTAAATATTAATTTTGATTGTTAGTTAACCTAAAAATTACACAAAAAAAGGATCAAGAAAATTTTTCTTGGTTCTTTTTTCTAATTTTTGGGTCTTTGTCTATAATTTTACAATCATTTTCTATAATTTTTCAGATCTTTTTATATAACTTTTTGATTAAAATTAACTTTTGCTAACGGTAAGAGTGACATTGCACATTTTAAAAGTCAAAACAGAATGTTATACTAAAAATGAGTTTAATTAAGGTCTCAAATGCTCTTAGACCTATGGTTTAATGGAGAGAAATTGCCCTTGAATTTCATCAAATTTAAAGTCTTTTTGGAGTAAGCACAAGGAAGGAGAGAGCACTCTCGGCTTTGATATAACAGAAAACTACAGTATTTCTTGATGCTTATTACATTGGAAAGAGGCCTTATTTATACTAAATTCTAAGAGCATTTTGTCCAAATTTTAAAAAAAAAACATTGAATCTAAATGGGAGTTATATGGAATCCATTATTAGGGAGTTATATATGAAACTGGATTTGATTGTGACTCAATAATATGCAGGAGAGTTATGAAGATAATAGAGGTTATATATAGAGACGAAGCTTTTAAATTTCATTTCACTTTTGCTGGAAATTTAAGAGGAAACTTACATGCAATTCTTTATACGTACATCTGTTACATGATCTGTTGTCAAGTTGAAAAGAGCATCTATGATATTTTTAGACATGTACAATATATTGCATTTCTTTAGTCTTGTCCAATATATGTGTGTGTGTGTATCAAATGCTTAGATATAAATATATATATATATATATATATCTTTTTGTCTCACGTGAAACCCTCTTTCTTGTCTATATAGCTCTATGGACCATTAATTTTAATGACATATTTGTCCTTTCATAAAACAAATTACATATTATATCATCAATATATGTATTCACTCACAGATCAGACACGCGCACACACAAGATAACTTGTCTTTCATTTACTATATATATCCAAGCAAATTAAGAGTATAACATGTTTATTTTGTTCTTTCCAAATGGATATGGAAGCAGACGAGCATGGATGGAAGCTAGTTCCACAGATTTAGATGGAATCAGACCACCAGATATTTTATCATCTTCTCAGCAAAGAACTGAGAAATCCGAGGTCATGACCTACACCTCATCAGATCATCACTAGTTAATTCGAGCACACACACACTCACACAATTTCCGACTTGAATGTATAATAGTGGCCTGAGGAAGTACAAAAATGGTTACTTTGTGCAGGGAAATAATAATTTGTTACAGTCAAGAAGCTTAAAGGAGTATGAGAATTTAAGCTTGGAGTTCACTCTAGGGAGATCAACGTGGGAAAGCAACGAACATGCCTAGTTAAAGTTTGGCACGTCGTGATTCTTGAAATAGATCTTCAAAAGACGGAGAAGACCAAGTAGAGATCTAATGCACAGATAATATATATATATATATATATAGCTAGGGTACTGCTCTATATTGTTAAGGTCACTTTCTACTAAGCTTAAAAAAGCATCTTTGTATATTCTTTTATTGAGCCAAAGCTAGGTTATTCACTTGGTTTCTAACTTTTAAGGTGATGTTAGTCATTACAAAAACTATCATGATTATAAAGAAAAAGATCAAGATCAGAGAGAAAAAGAAGGAGAATCAGATCAATGATGTATTTTATTTTCTTACCACTTTCTTTCTTTTTCATGTCTTTTCTCTCCTTTTTCTTAGGTTCCTACCGATTCCTGTAGCAATAAACAATTTTACATATATATATATATATATCTTGAGTGATCAGTGTGTGGAAGTTCGATACACACACACAGAGAGATGTGATCTATATGATTTACCACTTTTCCTCTTTGATTTGCGTCTTGACTTTGTGTGCAAGAGAAAGCTAAAAAGCAGTGATAGGTGCGAAGTTGTTGCAGAATATTAAGCTTTCTTTCACAAGCAAAGCCCATCTTTTTGACATCAATCATTCATGCATGCTGTAATATATATATATATATATATATAGAGAGAGAGAGAGAGAGAGAGAGAAAGGTGGGAGACAAATAGGTTCAAATTGGAGGATGATTTTCACGTTGCGTGATACCTCGCTATTAGAAAGTTTTTGTTATGATCGTGGCTTGCATTATATGCCCCACTACGTACCGATCATCAACACCTTTAAGTATATATATATATATATATATATATATTTGCGCGCGCGCGCGCGCACACACAAAACAAATTAAAATCAGTTTATCAATATATATGTGTATATATATCCACTGACGACGAGAGATGCTTGATGAAAACGTAAATGTAACAGCTGTAACCTTCAGTGAAGCATATTCAAAGGCTTCAGGAAACCATATATTCTTTTCCACCACAAAATCAATATCAATCATCAATCATTATATAAATTTTGTAGATCATTTTATAAATTTTGTAGCCATGCTATGGTAGTGGCTTATGAATAGCAATAGTATTTGATGAATATAATTAAATGCATATTTTACTATAATTGTAAATAATAACTAATAACCCACCAAGATTTTAATTTATCATACTAAAATGCCAGCCGAATAACATAATTCTTAAAAAAACATGAGCTATATATGTCTAAAAAAATTATGAATAATACAAAATTAAAAATAATTTAATAATTAAACTTAGCACCAATTAAATTTAATACTTTTAGTGGATAAATACTTTTGTCACCAAAAGTAATTATATAATTTATTTTTAATTTTTAATCTTTTTTTATAGAAATTATTTTGTTGTAATTATTAAATTATTTTTTATAAAAATATTTTTGGTAACGGTATATTTTTGGTGGCAACATGTCAAGGTTTTTGTTACTTTTGACAATGACATTTAATTATCATCATTAAAAGTATATTTTTTATGACAACTTTTAATGGCAATAAATTATTGCCACCAAAAGTAAACTTATAATAGCGAATTTTTTTATCATCGTTAAAAGCCCACTTTTAAAAATAATTTTTTTTATCACTGCTAAAAGTCACCATCAAAAGTCATTTTTTTCTAGTGTTATATGTAAATTAAACATCATCCACACACTATATAAGAGCCAATGATTCAGGGTACACTTGTATTAATATAGCATGGTAAACATGATGATTTTCTTAAAAATCACACGTGCATGAACAAATTATGTGGGTAACTAAATTGATTGTTATTATTATTCAAGCACAAGGAACTCTTTGAAAGAGAAATTAAATATCAAAATTTGAGTTTTATCTAATAAAGTACTTCTTCAGTTACTATTTACTTGTCATGATTTACATTCCTTTTGTCTCAAAACATATATCTTGTTATAAATTCAAAGGTATAATTATTTTTTGTTTCCAATAATACCCTTGTTAAATGGAGGTAGTTGATATTTAAAATAGTGTGATTTAAATAATGGAGGGCAAAACTGGAAAAAATAATTCTTACATCATTCAATATTATAAGAAATTTTTAATTGAATGACACCCACAATAAATTAGTTAATTTTTTTTAAAAATTATACACTCTTTTCATGTTTATCCTTATATATATAATGTTTCAATTAGTTAATTACACTCTTGATTAAGGATATTTTTAGAAAAATCCCATTAATTGTACTTTAAAATAAATGAAGTACCTCATATTTTAACATCTTACTTTAGAAAAAAATGCTTTGTATTTTTGAATGAATGGAGTACATAAATTTCTATTTCTCCTTAGTTTGTGTTTTTTTAGGACAAGTAAATAATGACAAAAAAGTAATTAACAAACGAATGTAAACACAGAAACTCGTCTCTTGGAGAGTTGGATAGAATGCACCCAACTGTTCATAAACTATAAATGGTGTGGCTCATTTTAAACATAACATCTAGTTATACAAGAACCTAGGTCAAATAATATTTAATTTTCCTTAAAGTAATGAAATCAATTAATATGATCTTAATTAAATAGGGAAAATGACCAAAAACATTCCCAAAATATGCAAATAACAATTAAAAACCGTAAAATGTGATAATTATTATTTAATCCTCAGTGACTTGCTTGTCATTTTGATTTTTGACAAAACAACATATTTACCTTTGGTGACTATTATAGGAAATGACTATTTTAATTGAATTATTGATTAAAACGGAGCATAAGATGACTACTTTCTTTCAACAAATTTATTTATGAAGTTTAACTAAGACAAGTAATAACAACATCACAAAAAAGGAATTAACGAAATTAAGTTCTCTTGTCTTAATTATAGGGCAAAATTTTAAAACTCAATTTGGTTCTAATGTAGTAGTTAATTTTTTTTCTCAATATCACCCTTTTTTAATTTTTTTTGATGGTTTACAAGTATTCTCTTATTGAAGATAATTTATTCGAAACACAATCGAATACTGAATGTAAACATTTCTCTCAGAATTAAGTTATAATTTTTTGGGACACGTTATTGTGGCATTTATTTTAATGTAGGTTAATATTGAAAAGTCAAATATTTTGTATACATTTAAAAATATTAATTACCATTCTTTAAGGATCGTGATGATGATTAACTTTGCCCTAAACTTCAAATAAGATGGAGCACTTGACAACGTTTTTATGATGATGAGGAATACGAAAATGAATTGAGCCAATGGGGAAAATGTGGTGTTGTTTATGGTTGAGAAAAACATTGATTGTGATATATATATATATATATAATGTTAATGAGTAAAATGGATTCTAAACTCTTGCTCCAAAAATACTTTAAACTCTAAATTCTTAAAATGTGTTAAACTTTTAAATTTATAACAAAATAAATCCTGATCATTAATTTTTTTAATATCATTATTGTTCAAGTTGTATTGTTCATTGTGGGCCCCAGTTAATGCTGACATGTCATTATTAATTAGTATAATAGATCCTAAATTATTATGTTTATAGCATTCTAAATCTTGAACTTTAAAATTTTGAGCCAATTACTCCTACCATTTATATATAAAACGTTAACTTTATGTAGATTAAATTAATTTTAGCATTGTTAGTTATGGCGAATGACCTATACTTTTATGAAATGATATTTTTACCTTTTTTTTGTAATGTTTTTTAAACAATTAGTATCTCATGCTTCCATATACTCTAATTTAATTAACTAAATAATGTTTATTTTAATTTAACGGTGAAAACTTGTATCATTTGAAAAGAAGTTTAACTATTAGATAATTTTGATTAACTAATTAATTTGAGTTTTAAATTTGTTGATGAAAAATTATTAGCATTTGCATCCATCATTTGTAAACTTTTATGGTACTTAAACTTTTTTTCAAATGAGATCCTAAATTTTTATTAAATAAATAAATATTATTTAAAATAAGAATAAATTAGAGTTATAGAGTATATAGAATTATGAAATATTAATCGTTTGGAAAACATTGTAAAAAAGCGCAAAAAACGTCATTTCACAAAATTATGAGTTGTTCGCCACGACCAACAATGCATTTACTGTGACGAATCATGCTAAGATTAATTTGGTTTATATAATAATTAACATTCTATACATAATTGGTGGGAGTGATTTGCTTAAAATTTCAAAATTTAGGATCCAAAACACTACTAACATAATAGTTTAAGATTTGTGACACTAATTAACAATAACATTTCAGTATTAACTAGGGCCCACAGTAAACAATACCGTGTGAACAGTAATGGTGTTAAAAAAATTAACGATCAAAATTTATTTTGCTATGAATTTAAAATTTTAAAATTTATTTTACATATTTTAAGAGTTCAAGGTTCAGGACGCTTTTAGAGTAAGAGTTTGGGGTCCATTTTATTCATTAGCCCTATATATATATATATATTCCTCACAATTAATTCTCTTTTCATATATATATATATATATATATGAAAAGAGAATTAATTGTGAGGAATAGATATACAGGGTCATTTATGAGAGCTTAGAAGAAAAGAGAGTGAAAGTGGTCCGTTGTGATAAATTGCATAGTGAGTGATGGGCAAAGTGGGAGACAAAATGAACCCCTAGTGATCTCAAAACAGCAGACAGGAGATTAGATTTCTTGGTCCCAAATTGGTTCACTTGTTCTGATCCTTTCTTCAATTCCAAGCCTCCCTTTTTAAAAAATGTTTTTTCATGTTCTCTGACCCGAATTTATTGAAAACATTTAAATCTCATTAATTAGCCGCTCTGATCATTTTCTCATCATTAATTTTGGTAGCTGGAGTTGTGTTGCCCAAAGTAAAACGACATTTAATTTAAGTCCCTCTAACAATTACACTGCCCCGCAAGTTTGGGAGATTTTAGTTTTGGTCCAAATTAAAAGAAAAAAAAAACCTTTTACTTTCAACCCGCAAAATTGGAGGAGCTGTCAATGTAAGAATTTTGTTAGTAGACTATCTATCAATATTCTTCTATAAGCGTTGTCTGGGTATGAAAGCACGTTCCGATCTTAGTAAATCCTTGAAACCAAATAAAAAAAAAAGCTTATACTCTTTTCAATTTTATAAAGTAGCATTTTTAAGTGCCTTATTTTTTTCGTATTGGAAATTTTTAATTAAATTCATCATTAATTATGGTTTTTTTAAACTTTTTTTCTTGGTTTGTGGGTAAAAACTTCCTTATATCTGAAAGGGAGGAAGTTGGTCAGGGAAAAAAAAAAGCGGAGAAAGCACTATTAAATTTTACTATGATTTAAGTTATTTAATAAATTTTTTAGTTGTGATTTTGTGAAAAATACCAAGTTAGAAATTTTATGAACCCACTAACCAATTGATTTTCATTGCAATGATTTTAACTCAATTTGTCTTCC